TTTTTTTTTTTTTTTTTCCTCTGTAGCAGAGATAGAACCCAGGGCTTCTTCCTGATCCTTCTCCAGGCTTTTTAAAATTTTGAGATAGGGGGCCGGGGATTTAGTTCAGTGGTTTAGCCGCCTGCTGCACAAGCACAAGGACCTGAGTTTGATCCCCAGTACAAAAATTTTAAAAAATAAAATTTTGAGATAGGGTTTTGCTAATTGTTTTGTTGTTGTTGTTGTTGTTCTGGGGATCGAACTCGGTTCCTTGTGCTTGAGAGGCAGGCAGTGGAACCACTGAGCTAAATCCCTGGCCTGCTAATTGTTAATTTGCCTGGGCTGCACTTATATACATGATCCTCCTGCCTCAGCCTCCCAGAGTGCTAGGATTATAGGTATGTTCCACTATGCCTGGTTCCTTATTCCTTCTGTTTATTTTTTATGAGAAATCTTTCATCAAAAGGAGATCTTTTTGTTTTTGTTTTTCTGTTTTGTTTTGTTTTTTGAGATAGGGTCTCACTTTGTAGGTCTGGCTGATCCTGAATTCACTGTGTAACCCAGGCTGGCCTCAAACTCCCACCTGGGATTGTAGGTGTGTGCCACAACCCCTGGCAAGAGATCTTATCTTAAAAAATAAAAAAGGACTGGAGATGTAGCTCAGTGGTAGATCTCTCACCTGGCATGCAAGAGGCTCTCAGTTCAATCCCCAGCACCCCAAAAAACAAAACAAAACTATACACACACATTCAGAATTAGAAATTCAGGATCTCAGACTCCTGTTGGATTACAGAAATTCTAACAGTTCAGAGAGGGGTATGAAGGATGTGAGTGTACAGGGGTGTGTGTGGATGTGTAGGCCTGTATATTAATGATATTACTAACTATAGACACAAAGGTATCAGCAATCAGAAGAGGGAGTAGAGAGGCACTCTTGAGGGACCACAGTATGATCTAAAATGAAGCTCTCCATGTCTGGAGTGAACTTTCATGATTGCTAAAGAAGCTTACCCCTTTGTTCCCTTAAGAAGCTTTATTGCTTGTTATGAACACCTCTGGTATAACTAAGGTTCCAGGCACAACCCTATGTGTTTTCCTTAAATCCTACTTTGCTTAAAACACATAATTAGAGCTAGAGGGCCGGGGATTTAGCTCAGTGGTTTTGCGGCCTACTACGCAAGCTCAAAGACCCCGAGTTTGATCCCCGGTACCAAAAAAAAAATAATTAGAGCTAGAGAGTATTGTAGAACTCAGTTGTTGAGAATTGTTGTTAGATCTTATGTTTTATGCTGGCCTTCCATTAAACATGCACAATATATATTTCAAATAGCTTCAGAGTGTTGTCTGAGCCAGGGATGTAGCTCAATGATGCCATGCCTGCCTGGCAAACCCAAGGTCCTGAGTTCGATCCCCAGTACCAGGGGGGAAAAAAAATTCCAACAGAGTATTGTCTGAATGCACAGTTGGAAATATTGAATGTCTGATCATGGTGCTCTTTTATGGTTAGCAGGTTTCTCTTAAATGGTTGTTCTTGATTATCATTTTCATAAGCTGACTAATTTTATGACATAGATACAGATTCCCTTCTGTTTCATCTTAAGTGACAGACACATGTTTTTCAGTATTTGTGAATGGTAGTTGATTCATTCATCTAATAGTTATATGCCCAATGAGAGGGAGAATGTGTGATGTTTGTGATCCTAAAATTGTGTTGATTCACTGACCTGTGGAAGTTTGTGGGGAGTGAGTTCATTGGACCTTAGAGTTGTTATGATGTCTAATAAAAGATGCATATGGCAGACATTAAACTTATTCTAACACACCGATTTTTCTGGTTTTTCATTTTAGAATTATAAGAGATCATGGATTAATCAACCTTAGGAAATTTCAATGTAAGTGTTAGCTGGTTTTTAAATTTTACAGTTTCTTTTAATTATTTATTAATTTTTTAATAATTTGTTTTAATATTATTAAATAGTTTAAAATCATTTATGGCAGTGGTTCTTTTTTTTTTGGTACTGGGGATTGAACTTGGCTCCTTGTGCTTGCGAGGGGCAGTGGTTCTTAATCAGGCATCACCTGAGAAGATTTTAAAAACTCTAGGGCCAGGGATTTAGCTCAGTGGTACCGTGACCTGCCTCGTAAGCGCAAGGTCCTGAGTTTGATCCCCGGTAGCAAAAAAAAAATTCTGATGCAGGAATGGGAATGTAGCTCAATGGTAGAACGCATGGTTAATATGTACAGCGAAGCTCTGGATTCAATCACCAGCACCCAAAAAAGTCTCTAAGGCAATCCATGGTGGTAGAAAGAACTGTTAATTTATAATCAGTAACATTTGTGCTAGGCATGTTGCGGCACACTGTAACCCCAATACTGGAGCGGCAGTACTGAGGCAGAAGGACTGGCAGGGGCTGCATAATGAGTTTAAGGCCAGTTGCCTGGACTGCATATGGAGACCCTGTCTTAAAAACAAAAACAGTAGGGCCGGGGATTTAGCTCAGTGGCCCCACACCTGCCTCACAAGCACAGGGTCCTGAGTTCGATCCCTGGTATCAAAAAAAAGGAAAAGAAAGAAATTCTTATTTTTAATTAGTGTAGTAATCACAGCATTAATGAATCATTTTCTAGATGACATCATGTTTTGAAACTGTATGTTAAATATAACCATGATCTTCAGGTTATTTTTGTTTTTTTTATAGTGCTGTGGGTCAAACCTAGGTCCTCAGGCACACTACAGAAGCACTCTGACACTGAGCTATATCCAGTGTAGCCTGGTCTTCAGGTTATGAAAATATTTTTATATAAATATCAACACAAAATGATACTTTTATTTTGCAAGGTGGTATGCAAACAAAAGATATTTAACATTGTATAATGGTGATACTAAACAATTTTTAATATGTAAATGAACATTTATGTATTTATTGGTTGTTTTGAGATAGGGTCTTGCTGTGTAGTTCAAGTTATCCTTGAATTCACTATGTAGCCCACACTGGCCTTGGAATTTAAGGTGATCCTCCTGCCTCAGCCTCTCAAGTGCTGGGATTACAGGTGTGTGCCACCACGCCTGACAGTAAACATAATTTTTTTTTTTTTTGGTACCGAGGATTGAACTCGGGTCCTTGCGCTTGCAGGGCAGGCGACAGAACCACTGAGCTAAATCCCTGGCCCTGTAAACATAATTTTTAAGTGAATTGCAAACCTTGACTTTACTATTTTAAATAATGGAAATACCTGGGTGTTGGGTAGAAAAAGCACCTGTACCTTTTCTTCTTCTACAATGTAAAGTGTATTCATCAAATAAGAATGATCCTCATAATAATAATTGCAGTGTTCATTTGAAGTATTCATAGTAACTGTTTGTTGTACTCTTGTTTTGTGAAAGTAATGATTATCTTGGAATATATCTGGGTTTTTTGTTTTTTGGGTTTTTTGGTACTGGGGATCGAACTCAGGACCTTGCACTTTCGAGGCAGGTGGCAGAACCATTGAGCTAAATCCCCGGCCCAGCCCTGGAATATATCTTAATTGACGGAGTTTTCTGGGTATCTCTTTGACACTCAATGCATTGTTGGGTTCAGGTTAGCCAGTCAGAGGAGTTAAGTGTCTTTGTAATCTTTATAAATGTCTGTATATAGTTTTTTAAAAATTTGGTTAGGAGCATAAGTATGTTACATTTTTTATGCCCTTTGTAGTATTTTGTACATAATTTAAGTTATTGAGGTGTTTTAAGGATGTTACTTTTCATAGTTACATAATATGTATTTAGTTATATAAATTGGGTTTAACCACTTTTATTTTTAAATGTTTGACTTGTTTTCAGCCTTTTTTTTTCTACCGGGGATAGAACTCGGGTCCTTGCACTTGCGCAGCAGGCGGCGAAACCACTGAGCTAAATCCCCAGCCTTGTTTTCAGTTTTTAAAAATTATATAAATAGTGATGTTATGAACTTGTCTGCAAATAAAACTTTGTCTATATGTAGGATTTTTTTTTTTTAGTTGTTTTTTTGTTTGGGGATTTTTTTTGGTACCTGGGATCGAACTCGGGTCTTTGCACTTGCAAGGCAGGCGGTGGAACCATTGAGCTAAATCCCCAGCCCTTTTAGTTGTTTTTTGAGACAGGGTAGAGACATATAGTTTAGGGTGGTCTTGAACTCACCATGTAGCCCAGGCTGGCCTCAAACTTCAATCGATCCTCCTGCCTGGCAATCGCAAGGTCCTGAGTTCGATTTCTGGTACCAGAAAAAATTTAAAAAAATAAAAAACAGGACTTAATTGAAATAACTGTCATAAGTGAAAATATGTATCTTTAGACCAAGAGTACATAAAAATGGTGAATTATTTTATTAAAATCACAAAGTGGTTCACGAGTTCCTGACTCCACAAACCTAACAGTTATTGTCAGGCAGTTTTACTCTCTGTCTTCTTTGCAGATAACTTTTTTTTTTTTCTGTGGTACTGGGGATCAAACTCAGGACCTTGCAGTTGTGAGGCAGGGACTGCACCACTGAGCTAAATCCCCAGCCCTGCAAGTATCTCTTGGTTTGGGGTTTTTTTTTTTGGTACCGGGAATTGAACTCGGGACCTTGCACTTGCGAGGCAGGCGCTGGAACCACTGAGCTTTACCTGGCCCCAGATATCTCTTTAGATTAGAGATTTGGTCAGTAGTGATCCCCAAAGTTGCTAGTCCTGTCTTTGCCACATATGTGACCATTTACTTACATGGTAATTGTCAAAATATAACTTTATTATTAAATGAAGTTGTAGTTATTTAATTTGGTTTGAAAGAAAGCCAAATGGCCCCTTTGGACAGTGAAGAAATGTGTACCTCACCTGACCAGGGTTAGTAGGGAGATTTCAGGTGGGGCATGCAAGAGATCATATACTTACTTTTTCCAGGCTAATCTACCTCATCTAGATGCATTCTTGGTTTTCCTTGTTTGTCCCTGGAAGTTAGTATCAGAAATTGTGGCCAACATTATTTCTAAGAATACATGGTCTGCCTTTGTCATTTCCATTATTGCAGCAGTGCCTGACCCTATACAGATTAAAAGTCTTTGTGTGGGAGGTCAATAGTGCTTAGCAGTGGAGATGATGACCAGTGATAACAACATGTGTGATAATTGCTGTGATGCTGTTCTTATGATTAGTGTTTTGCTTTGTTAGACTTCCTGTTTGCCTCTTGTTATGGGTAAATTAGTTGTGTGAGCTTAGGAATTATGAGCTTTAATTTAATTTGTAGGAAAAGAAAAAAGTCGCAAAAAAAAAAAAAGTCGCAAATTTAAGGATCCTTATATTTTTGATGACATGGTTGTGTTTTGCTTTCTCTGTAGTAATGGAAAGGCGGTATCCCAAGGAAGTCCAAGACCTTTATGAAACAATGAGGCGATTTGCAAGAATTGTGGGGCCAGTGGAACATGACAAATTCATTGAAAGCCATGCACGTAGGTAGTTTTTGAACCTTGTTAAGCAAGTATATGTGTGTATATAAATAGGAGAAGCTGAGTGTGGTGGTGCATGCCTGTAATCCAAGTACTCTGGTAGGCTGAGGCAGGAAGATTATAATTTTAAACCCAGCTTGGGTAACTTACCTGAGAACCTATATCAAAATTTAAAAATTCTTTAAGGCTTGGGGGGTATGGCTCAATATGAAGGCCCTAGGCTCAATCCTCAGAACCTCTAAACAACCAGCAAATAAATAAACAAATAGATAAGGGATAATGGTATGTTTTATGTGAAATAAATAAATGGATATTTCTGTCTTTGCTTTTCTTTATTTATTTTTTTGCAGTAATGAGGATTTAACCAGGGCCTTCTTTGTTCATACAAGGCAAACGCTCTGACAGTGAGCTACATCCACAGTCCTTTTTATTTTTTCATTTTGAGACATGCTCCCAGTAAGTTGCTCAGGCTGGTCTTGAAATTGCAATCCTCCTGTCCCAGCTTCCTGAGTAGATGAGATCACAGGCATGATGAGATTACAGGCATGACTGGCCTCTATTTTATTACCATGAGATAAATTTGGGATTGTGAAAGTGGTTAAAGAAAGATTTTTTTTTTTTTAAAGTGGCTTTTGTTTTTCCCAGAAAAATGGTAGTTCAGTAGTTTTTCTTCTGACTTTTTATTACAGGAGTTTTCAGACATATATGAAAGTGGAGGCAGTAATACAGTAATAACCCCCCATACACACCATGTATCATCACCCAGCCTTAGCAGTTATCAGCACATTGCCTGTTCAGTTTCTTTACTACCCACTCCTCTGTGCTCTTAACCCTAACTGGATTATGAAGCAAATTCCAGATGTCATATAAATTTTTTGAATGTCATATTATTTTGTCCATAAATATTTTATTATTAAAAGTTAGCAATGGGGACAGAGTTGGATCATTCATGGACATACTACTTCATTCATTCTCTTGCCTCTTCAGTATTCCTGAGAAGAGTTTATCTTATAGATAGTTTGGTTTTTCCCTTTGTTTTTTTGGTACCGGGGATCAAACTCAGGTCCTTGCGCTTGCACAGCAGGTGGTGAAACCACTGAGCTAAGTCCCCGGCCTCTGGTTTTTCTAAAAAAAAAATTAAAGTCATTAAGCCAAGTGTTGTGCTGCATGCCTGTAATTCTAGCACTCTAGGAGACTGAGGCAGGAGGATCAAAAGTTTGAACCCAGCTGGGGATTAAGCTCAGTGGTGCCACCACCTGCCTTGAAAGCGCAAGGTCGTGAGTTCGATCCCCAGTACCAAAAAAAAAGGTTTGAACCCAGTCTGGGCAACTTAGTAACTTAGGGAAACCCTAAATCAAAATTAAAAATAAAAAGGAGCTGGGGATGTAGCTCCGTGTGCAGGCCCTGGGTTCAATTCCCAGTACTGAAAAATAATTTTTTTTAATCATTAAGGCCATTGAGACCTAGACTTTTAAAACAGTCTGGAGTGGGTAGCTTATTCTGTAGCTATCATTATGAAATCTGTATATTTAGCTTTTCAGTTTAGTTTTGGAAAGGTTCTTTACCAAGGCCCTTAGCCTGTTGTCATCATACAAATATTTCTTATTAAGCACCGTAGGCATGTATCTGAGCCACGTTGCTTGTCCTCAGCAAACACCTTGTTTAGTTGGAATTCTTTGTGTAATATTGTACCAAGCAATTGATCCTTTACTTCCTGTCCCAGCTTGTATCATTCCTAGTTTATGTGTCACTGCAAAGAACTATACCCCATGGATTGTCCAGGCTTTTCCTTCATCCTCTATTTCAAAAGCACCCAAGTTGGAATGTTCTATCACATAATAACTCAGGCAGTGCAACCTGATCTGGGCTCTCAGAGAAGGCAGAAATCTTTGGTTTATGGAAAATACAATGCTCCTTTGTCCCTGTGGGAGAAAAGCTGTAAAGAATCTAACTGGGGCTTGAGGACAGAGCTTTTGTCCTTCTCTTGCATCAGGGCTACATCAAGTAATACCAGAGACAGGTTTCATAAAAGAACTTCGTTGTGAGTGTGAGTAGAAATTTTAACAGAAGTAGGTAGAAGAGGAAATCTTGGTTGTTTAAAAAGCTATGTTACTTTTGTAGGCAGATGAATTCAACCAGTTTACTCCTCTAAGTTTTCCAGGAGCTAATTCCAGATGCTGCATCTGGAGACAGCAGCTGGAAAGCAGTTGGAGTAGGCTTTTCTGAGCTCTTGGGTAAAATTTCTAATGAGGGGTTACCAATAAAAAGTATTCCCCAGGTGAAATTCCCCAGCCTTTTATATGAAACAGAATTACTAAAGACACTCGAAAGTGAAAGTACTCACTGATGTTGATTTTGTTTTTCCAATTTTTCTCCTTTGTTCTTTTGGGAAAACAGTGGAATTTGAACTCCGAAGGGAAATCAAGAGACTTCAGGAATATAGGACAGCAGGCATTACCAATTTTTGTAGTAAGTATGCTTTAGCTACATACTGTATCAGAGGGCAAATATTATCCGCATGCATAGAGGGAATCTCTAAGGTGTGAATTTTTTTAAACAAGATTTTCTTTTCTTTTCTTTTTTTTTGGTACCAGGGATCGAACTCGGGTCCTTGCGCTTGTGCAGCAGATGGCAAAACCACTGAGCTAAATCCCTGGCCCAAAACAAGATTTTCTTTTTCAGAATGAGTTTTCAGTCTTTTCAGTAGGGTTTCATTTATTTAATCTCCTAAGTACCATCATCTAGATTTTCTGAAGTGGAATAAAAGTCATGACACAGAGATGAAAGAGGATACTGCTCTGGCTCCTCTCTATAGTAGGGGATGTGGCTCAGTGGTAGAGCACTTGCCAAGCATGCTAGAGACCCTAGTAAATATTAGTTACTTCTTGAGAATGGAGCTATGAGTGGCTTTTATTTTCTTTGTACTTTGGGGGTTTTCCTCTCTCACAAATTTCTTAAATACAGAAAAAGAATAAAAATATATCATTTAGTATCAAGAAAGAGATTTTAGGGCCGGGGATTTAGCTCAGTGGTACCGCGCTTGCCTTGTAAGCTCAAGGTCCTGAGTTTGATCTCCGGTACCCAAAAAAAAAAGAGATTTTACTATTTATTCCTTTTTTCTGATGGTGGTACTATGGATTGAAGCCAAGTCCCTCTACATGGCAGGTGAGAGCTCTCCTACTAAATTAAATCTTCAGCCCTTTATTTCTTTTTTTGTTCTGTTTTTGAGACAGGGTCTCACTACGTAGTTCAGACTGGCTTTGAACTCCCTGTGTAGCAGAGACTGGCCTCAAATTTATGGTGATCCTCCTATCTCAGCCTCCCAAGTGCTGAGATTATAGGCATGCACCACTACACCCAGCTTTCTTTTTTGTTTCATTTTTTAAGACAGGGTCTCACTAAGTTGCTCAGGCTTGCCTCGAACTTGTGATCCTCCTGCCTCAGCCTCCTTGAGTGTTGGGATTATAGCCGTGCACCATCAGGCCTGGCTAAGAAAGGGATTTTATTTTATATTTTTTGGTACCGGGGATCAAACTCGGGTCCTTACACTTGCACAGCAGGTGGCAAAACCACTGAGCTAAATCCCCGACCCCTAAGAAAGGAATTTTAGACTGAGGGAAATTTACTTGGTTCTTGGAAGAATAGTTTTACAAAGGAAATCAAAACTAGACAAACTGTTTGCCAGTCCGTTAGGAGGTCCTTCTGCTGCATTGTGATTATAGTTGTGGTATTTTCTATACCTTCAGGTGCCAGGACATATGATCACCTAAAGAAGACACGAGAGGAGGAGCGCCTTAAACGCACCATGCTCTCTGAGGTTCTCCAGTATATCCAGGACAGCAGTGCATGCCAGCAGTGGCTCCGCCGGCAAGCTGACATGTGAGCAGTTAGCCCTGGTTGAGGGAGGCACTCCTCTGGGATGCTTGGCCTTCACATGTGTTTTTGAACTCTTTTGTGGGTACTGTAGATGGCAGAGTAATAATAATTGAGTAGCTAGAAGAATTCACAAAGATTTTAGCAGTCTGTCTCAGAAGCAGTGCAGTATTCACAGTTTGGGGAAACATAATTGGCCTTCTACAATCCTACTTTCCTTAGACTTTATTTTTAAAAATTATTGTATTCCCCCTAGCCTCCCACCCACATCTCTCCCCCTCCTTATCTACTGATATGATATTCACTGAAAAATTCACATTCTTACCCCTTCCCCATTAATTATGTCAGTGATGTTCCATGTTCAGAGCTCTTCTTAGCAAACTGAAGGGATTTTTTTCCCCACAGAGCAGATTTTCTTTCTTGGTTAGTACAGAGGGGTATCCTATAAAACATTATCCAGGGGTGGGGATTTAGCTCAGTGGTTCCACCACCTGCCTCACAAGTGCAAGGTCCCGAGTTCAATCCCCAGTACCAAAAAAACAAAAAACAAACACTGTCCAGTCTATCTCATTATATCTCTTGAAAGTGATCTTCCTGATAAATGGCACCTAGTCCAATAGGGCTTTTAGAAATTGTCTTCGATGATCTAAGTTTAAATTCTTCTTCTTCATTGTAGTGATTCTGGAGTGAGTCCTTCCATTCCAATGGCTTCAAATTCAGGTAATTATTTCTCAAGCTACAGCAAGTCTTTTGTTGTTTTGTAGTGATGGGGATTGGAGCCAGGGCCTTGTACATGCTAGTCTTGATTGTGAAGATTTGTGAGGTTTGCATTCAAGAGGTTATAGTGACCTAGCAATCCTCCCTTCTAAGTGGGATCAGGTTGCTTAGGCAGAGTAATGGTAATCGAGTGTTAGCCTAATTTATAAACATTAGCACAATTTCAGAACCTTCATAGCCAGATAAGGATGATCTATGTCTCTGAGATTATAGAGATGGGAAGAAAAGATCCCAGAAGGTAGCTTCTTCGTTTTACTAGTGTTCATGGTCAGTCACTATAGGTTAGTTTAGTTGAATTTTATCTACCACACATTTTAAACATGTGTCTGGCAGAAAATAGATGAAAATCTTTGTGTCTGTTGTAAGCCGTGAATCGTAGTACTTTGCCAGAAACGTAAGGATTTCTTACAAGTTTGAGACTTAAGGTTCTGTTTCTGTATTTAAGATTCTGTTTCTATATTTATGCTTTTAACTCTCTGGGTATGTCCTATTTTGAGATTAGTTTTTAGAGCAAGATTAAGCCATTTGCTATCTGATGATCCTTGGTGGATTGATAATCAGTGAGGAGGAACTTGAGGAGGTATTAGTTAGTAAAGCTCCGAACCAAGGTTATAGTGTTTCTTTGCCTATATTCTTGGTTATCTTTCATCCTTGCTCCATGTGATGGCCATTTCTCCTAATAAGAATATACAGAAGTGGGCCAGGGATTTAGCTCAGTGGTTCTGGCGCCTGCCTCGCAAGTGCAAGGTCCCGAGTTTGATCCCCTGTACAAAAAAAAAAAAAAAAAAGAAAGAGAATATACAGAAGACACTCCACTGATAGGAAACAGAGTAGTCAAAAGTCATCTATTTGTCATTATTCTTTGGAGGCTTGAAACAACAGACCTTGTGAAATCTCTCAGTATATCAGAATCTAGATAGGGCTCCAGTAAGGCCACTTGAAAGATTTTTTTTTTTCTTCTTTTTCTTTGTTTCAAGTAATTATTTCTTAATACTTAAGGGAAAAAAAGGAGCCATTTAGTGAGTTGCCAGGACAGTGAAATCCAGGTTTTATAATTTTCTAACTTCTAATTCCTCTTCCCTAAATAAGGAAATACAAATAACTTAATACCAGCTAATTAAAATGAATGAGCTAGCTAACATGACTGTGCACCTATGGTACTTATATTTTAACCATTTGTACTCTCTTACTCACTGTTCTTCCTAGGCTAGTTTTAGTCTTCTTCACTCCTAGACTTAGGTTCAGGTGGCCCCTTGCTCTCCTTGATGCTCTGAGTTGTTCTTCAGGCAATGAAAGGTTGAAAGCCTGGCCTCACTGATTGTAGCCTATCCACTGGTGACTTGTGAAGTAACACATTATTTTATCTTTATTTTCAGCATTTAGGATAAGCACTTACCTCCTTTGTTGATACTACAGAGAAGCCTGTTTTCCAACAGAGCAGCTTATTACAGTCCCTTCCTGTTTTTTGTCCCACCTAAAAGGCAATTCCCATAAAACTTTTTTTTTTGGTACCGGGGATTGAACTTGGGACCTTGCGCTTGTGAGGCAGGCAACAGAACCACTGAGCTAAATCCCTGGCTCCACCATAAAACTTAATATAATATTCTATATTTTTTGCTTAACTCACTGCATCTGTCTCTATCTGATCTCTAATCCCAAATATATATTCAGAATAAAACCCAAAATATTTTGTCTATCAAGCTTCCTATCCTTCCCTGGCCAGTGACCTCTTTTTGGGTTTCTTTCTCAAGTATGTGAGTTGACCTTAGTCCTTGTTTTGCCATACAATGGCTAATTGTTCCTGTTGGTGGATCTTTCAGGTGAATAGTGTTACTTTGAAAGGAACAGATCTTCTCTCACATAATAAATAAGGAGGGCCTTTTGCTGGCCTAACAGTCTGCCTTTGATCTGAAGGCACATAGTACTTGGGTAATTACTGTGTTTGCTTTGTACTGCTGGCAGAGTGGTAAGGATTAGAGAATGTCTCTCCTGCAGAGTTGTTATTTCCATTCATCAGCTGTCAAGGCAGGCAGTGTGTGACCTTTCTTAACTGGATGACATCTGGGCTTCAGATTTTTTTTTTTTTTTTTTGGTACCAGGGATTGAACTCAGGTCCTTGCGCTTACGCAGCAGGTGGCAAAACCACTGAGCTAAATCTCTGGCCCTGGGCTTCAGATTTTAGAGTCTCCTACATGGTGGGAAGACATAGGTGGTAACTACTATGGTGAGCAGTCATATTTGATGCTAAAGGAGTGTTTTGGCAGAGCAAAAGACACATGAATTTATCATTTTTTATTCTGAAATGAATGTTAAGGTGCTCATGTTGTTAGCTAAACAGGCCCAGATGAATGGGTTTGACTTTCCTACAGCTGGTATAGTGATTCTGTACTTAGCCGGTCTGGCTTGGACTAAGCTTTGTTATACTTTTACACTTGAGCAGTTGTTGCTTATATGAAATACATGTTCCTCTCTGTGTCTGTAGGTAGACGGAGTGCACCACCCTTGAACCTTACTGGCCTGCCTGGCACGGAGAAGCTGAATGAAAAAGAAAAGGAGGTAACAAAAGGAAAGGGAACTAGAGGAAAGAGAGTAGATTATTCGCTGTCTTTAAAAACTCATTAGGGCCGGGGATTTAGCTCAGTAGTTTCACCGCCTTCCTCAAGGTCCCGAGTTCGATCCTTGTACCAAAAAAACCTCATTATAGCATGACACTCATATTGCTCCACCATCTAACATACATACAGGCCTATCTCTGGCCTGTCCTAGAAGTCTGGGAACTAAGGAACTAATCCTGGCAGGTTTCAGAACTACTTTATCACCCTGCCACCATTTCTCTCTGGGGGGAAGTTCATGTGATAATGTCAGATAATAACAACTATCATTTATGGAGCATTTAGCTTGTGTCAGACAACTATTATGTACATTATTTAAATAAAATTAATTGTTTGTGAACCTAAAATAACTTTACATGAAAATAAATATTTTCTGTTAGAATGGTCATTTTGAGAAGCTCTGTGTGTATTTCAGCAATACAAAGTTGGGTCAGGATTGTGAATTCAAGTCAGTCTGGACTGCGGTGACACTTGGTCTCAAAAAACTTAGTGATTCCAGCACTTGCCTTGCAAGTGCAAGGTCCCAAGTTCAATTCCTAGTACAAAAAAAAAAAAAACCAAACACAAAACAACAATATGTCCATTACTTAAAACAGTTTTAGAATTGTTTCCATAGCGTCTTAAGCATAAACAAAAGAATTCAGAGCTGGCCATTGTGATACACGCCTGTAATTCCAGCATGCTTGGGAGGCAGAGGCAGGAGGATAGCAAGTAGAGCTCAGCCTGGACAATTTAGTAAGACCTTGTGTCAAAAAATAAAAAAGGGCCCGGTGTGGTGGTACACACCTGTAATGCCAGCCCTTGGGAGGCTGAGGCAGGAGGATTGCCGCAAGTTCGAGGCCAGCCTGGGCTACATAGTAAATTCAAGCTGAGTCTGAACTACATAGACCCTGTCTCAAAGAAAAAAGTGTGTGGGGGGTGCTGGAGATAAAGCAATCCCCAGTATTTTCTCTCTCCTACACAAAACAGAGGAATTCCGAGCCCAGTGCAGTGGTATACACCTGTAATCTTAGGTACCCTAAAGGCTGAGGCAGGAGGATTGCAAGTTTGAGATCATCCTGAGGAATTTTTTTTTTTTTTTTTTTTTCTGAGACAAGGCTTTGCTGTGTAGTTCAACAACTCAGTATGTAGCCCAAGCTGGCTTTAAACTCACGGCAATCCTCCTGCCTCAGCCTCCCAAATGCTGGGATTATAGGCTTGTGCTGCCACACAAGGTGGCAGCCTGAGCAGTTTAGCAAGATCCTATCTGGAAGTGAAATTTAAAAATGGGCTATGGATGTAGCCGAGTGGGTGTAGTTGTTTCCTTGCATGATTGAGGCCCTGGGTTTAATTCTAGCTTTCCAAAAAATGGGTGGGATGGATTCAGCATTACATACAGTTACACATTAATTTTTATTTTAAAAATAGCAGGACCCACATCCACTCCCCCCACCCCTTACCCACGCGTCCCATCATAATCATCAGACTTACCTTTCGGACTTACCTTTTGGCTATTTCTATAATTTTGTTTGTTTTGAGGCAAGGTCTTGTTGTGTAGTTTAGGCTCACTTTGAATTCATTTCGTAGCCCAGGCTGTTCCTAAACTTGCAGTCCTCCTGCCTCAGCCTCCCAAATGCTGGGAGTACAAGCGTGTGCCATCACACCTGCCGGTTTCTAAAATTTAAATCTTAAATCTCATAAAAATCATCTTCAAGAGTTTTCAGCCGGGTATGCTAACACAGGCCTGTAATGCTATCACTCGGGAGAAGGAGGCAGGAGAACTTCGAGTTTGGGGCCAATCTAGGCTACATAGTGAGATTTTGTCTCAAAAGAAAAAAAAAGTGTTTTGAAAAGGGGGTACCCTAGCCTTGAAGTCCATTTCATGCTCCTCATGTGCCCCTTTTACAGTTCCTGAAATTCGTGCCCCACCTGCCACTCTTTAGCATTACTCTTGTCAGACAATACAGAAGAGTTGTGGTATTGGGAGTATATTAGTCTTATTTTATCCATCAGGAACAATGAAGATTAGTTTTGGAGTAGAAGGAAGTAGATGTTCTACATACATATTTCTGAAGAAAGCCACAGGCCAGTCTGATTTAAATGTTCAATGGCCTGGAATTGCAGGGATTTTTTATTCTTACCACACAGTGCTGACCTCAGTTTACTCATTGCTGGATAATGGCAGGTGAACTGGAACTCAGCCAACTTTCTAGATTTTTTGCAGTTAAAGTGGCTTCTTCTCAAAGTGGAAACTTAATCACAAAAACAGGTACTACACCTTTAAGGTCATACCAACGATAATGTGATTCACATTTCGGAATCCAGGAAGCTGCAGCTTCTGCACGGTGTTGGTCCTCTGGCCTGGTGTTTAAATGCTTGATTCTTGGGTGAACCAGGCTGCCCCTCAGGGACACATATTTGTATTTCCCTATAAACTCAGATATCCGAGCATCCTGAATGAGCTAAGGCCTCTCCTGGCATCACATGCTGGCTTCTGCTTCCTGGGTGTCTGTCCTTAGGGAGTGTTCTCTCCAGGGAAAAAGAGACTAAATGGAATGTGGTCCAGTCACTCAACAGCTCCTATAAATAGTTGGAAGTTGATGTCACTTCTTTTTGATTTTGCTGTACCTGCTGGATTAAATTATGAGAATGACAGATGTTAATGTTTATTAAATTTGCCATGTCTTGCAGCTCTGTCAGATGGTGAGGTTGGTCCCTGGAGCCTATTTAGAATACAAATCTGCTCTACTGAATGAATGTAACAAGCAAGGAGGCTTGAGACTGGCACAGGCAAGAGCACTCATCAAGATAGATGTGAACAAGACCCGGAAAATCTATGATTTCCTCATCCGAGAAGGATACATCACTAAAGCTTGAGGTTATAAGGCCCTTGGATCCCACGTCTGAACTTTGGAATGTGGTGGGTCAGAGGACAGTACACACATTCTGGAGAGTTGTTTTTGAGCTGAATTCTCATTATAAAGGAGACAAAGGAAATCTTACGGTGTATTAATAACTACTTTCTTCTCTACCCTGCTTTAAAGCACTTCTGTTGTTGGTATTGTGCTGTGGATTGTGTGCTAGATAAGCTATTATTAAATGTGAGTGGGCATTCATTCCTAACACTTCTTGTAACTAAAACAAGAACCATAGTACCTCACATCACAGTGTTGGTAGAAATAGAACCAAACCAACCACAGTGCTTCGTCCCAGGAGTCCAGCTCATCCTTGCGCTTGAGGGCGAAGTTTGGTCATTATCTGTTTTGCCTTCAAACATTGCAGATTTAAAATAAAGACAGAGGTTTTAGAGCATGAGAAAGCCTTCTTTTCTATTTTTTTTTTTTTTTAAGCTGACCATTTATGAGCAAAGAAGAGGAAAATCTCTCCATGATGGTCTTGTCCCAAACTGCATCTTAAATGCCTGGCTTGTACTTTGCAGTCTGGGTGTCTGATCTATAGTAGACTTTTGAGGCAGTAGCATCGGATATAAAATGTCTCTGTCATTTTTATTTTTTATTTTTATTTGGTACAAGGGATCGAACTCAGGACCTTGCAGTTGCCAGCCAGGCGACAGCATCACTGAGCTAAATCCCCAGCCCCATCTCTGTTATTTTTAGAATTAATGGATTAAAATGTGTTGCTATTTAATTTGTGGGTGTGTCACATAGTCTGGTAAATAAGCACACTTAGGGTGTTGGATGCCTGCCCCATCACGCTGCACCATCTCTGCTAACATGTGTGTCCTGGGCTTACCCTGTTCTTACCCCAGGTTTCCCAGGATACCAGGTCCCTGAGGATGGAGATGATGCAACTCCTTTCAGCTTTGCTTGGATTGAGACCTGAACCCTAATTTCTCAGTGGTAAAAGGCTAGCCTGCAATAAAAGCTGCTTCTAAAACACAAGTAAAGCAGCTTCATGTATTAGACTCACTAGATGTGAGGGTGAGTAGCCCCACCACATCTAAAAACACGCCTCAAACTTTTCTGCAGACCAACAAGCCAAACTCATAATCATGGTTATCTCATTTCTGTTAGAAGCAAAATTGTATATAGAAATAACTTCCCCAGAGCTGGGCATAGTGTTGCACGCCTATAAGCCCAGCAGTCGGGGAGGCTGAGGCAGGAGGATCATTGCAAGTTTGGGGCCAGCCTGGGCTACATAGTGAGTTCAAAGCCAGCCTGAACTACATAGTGAGACCCTGTCTCAAGAAAACCAAACAAAAACAGCTTACTTCATCAGAATCTGCACAGATCACCTCCAATAGCTGACCGATTCCTTAATTCCTTTAATAGTCAAACAGCTAATTAGTATGTACTTTGTTGGTAGCATCTGCTCAAACTCTGACTGATGTAAATGTGTACAGCTTGCTAGTAGCTATCACTAGGAGAGGAAAAGGACACGCTCAGGATCTGAGGGAATTCAAATAGAAGACTTTGGTTGTTAACAAGGGAAGGCTGCTGGAAATGGTCTTTGTTTGCATCATAATATCTCAGAAAACTGCATCACCACCATCAACATTTGGTGGTTGTGAAGGATTTGCCTCTTATCTGTGAGATGTCATTCCTGTTGTGAGAATTTGGGGTATGAGAGGTGTTGGTGTCAGGTGATGTTTGTTGTAGTTTGAAGAGCCTTTCTATTGATTAAGGAGGGCTTCCTGGGAGAGGTGGGCTTTTGAGGCAGTAAGATTGAGAAAGAAAAATGGCAGATGGAGGTGGGAGACTGTTCCAGACGTAGGGGTGGAGGATGATGTGGGGGCAGCAGTGGGAGTAAGGAAAATGGTACCAAGAGATGTACTGGGCTAGAACACAGGCAGCTGTGGGAGCTAGGAGTGGGAGGGTGGCAGGACAGGCTGGCAGAAACCTTAGAACTGACTGACTGCTGAAAATTAGGTGGAGACCAATAGATTTGATAAGGAAAATGGCATTGTTGAAAATAATGACAGGGCTAGGCATGGTGGTGCACACCTGTAATCCTAGCACTCCGGACGCTGAGGCAGGAGTGTTGCCATGAGTTCAAGGCAAGCCTGAACTACATAGCAAAAGCCTGTTTAAAAAAAAAAAAAAAAAATGACAGGAAAGCAAAGCTATAATTACAAATCCCAGACTTTAAAGTAGGATTGGGCCAGAAATGTGGCTCAGCAGCACAGCACCTGTGTTGCAAGTGCAAGGCCCTGAGTTCGATTCCCAGTACCCAAAAAAAAAGGGTTATTATTGCTTTGGTAAGCTGAACTTTGCAAAATTTAAGATGTTTTTCTGAGTTTCTCGAAGGTTTCACCATATTTTGTGTGATGAGTACTCTTGAAAGGAGTCACCGAGTTCCTGTCTTTGTGTTAATAATAGAAAGCACTTACTGGTACTTTTGATGTAGCTGTCTTTAATACATTATTTCCTTCCATGTTCTTATCACCTGGACTTGGCCACTTTTTTTTTTCTTTTTGGTTTTTTTGAGACATAGTCTCACTATGTAGTTCAGGCTGGACTCCCAACTTTCAGTGATCCTTCTACCTCAGCCTCCTGAGTGCTGGAATTACAGGTGTGCACCACCACGCCCCACAAGGCCATTTCTTTTTCTTTTTCTTTTTTTTTTAAATTTTATTTTATCCCATTCTCCCCATGGCCATTTCTTACACTGTACTAAAAAAAACAGCACAACACTAGAAGAAGTCTTTCTAGGAACATTGCATCCTTCTCCTTTCCTTCTGGACAGGGTTGGCCATAAATGAGCTACACTGATAAATGACTCTCCTGGTCCAGGTCAGCTCAGAAGAGGGAAAGTTAACACTGAAACTCAGTGATATGAATAAAGACTCGTTAGTGTTAAAATTTTTTTGTTGTTGCAGTTTAACACTAAAGGTTTCTGGTGGAGTTTTCTACATACCCTTCTCACCCAGTGGTGGGAAACAGAAACAGATCCTTTCCCATATAATAACTCCTGTACTCCAAGACCAGGACTAAAGGATGAGCATGTAGCTCAGTAGAGCTCTTGCTTTGCTTCTATGGCGACCTGGGTTCAATCCCCAACACTAACAGAAAATAAATCTCAGGCTGGGGATTTAGCTTAGTGGTTCTAGTGCCTGCCTCACAAGCACAAGGTCCCGAGTTTGATCCCTGGTACCAAAAAAAAAAAAAAAAAGAAAAGAAATCTCTCTTGGGACCAATTAATATGAACTGTTTACAGGTTACCTTTTCCTGGGTTCCAGTGCCCATCCTTTCCTTGTTTGCTCTTTTTTAAAATCTGAACTCAGTTAAACAACCAGTCATTGAAATCTTCCGTAGCTAGTGGGTTAACTGGAAAAGGGGGAAGACCAATGGTGTTCATCATTGACAACAAAATCCCAGTTGGTAAGTCATCCTGACTCCAGGAAATATGTAGACAGGTAGTAAGAGAACTGAAATCTCCACTGTGAAGAGTCAGACCCAAATCACACATTACAGCTTGGGAAAACTCATTCATATTTACCTTCAGAAAAGCAAAACAAAAAACACTTTTCCACCCATCTCTAAGCAGGAGAGTGGATTTGTGTTTTAAACAGTATTTGGGAACCCATGCATTTTTAAGTATGTCTTGGGGATGCTTTCCAGATATACACTGCATTATTGTGGACAGCATAAAAGAATTTCTACAAGTTGTATGTACCTGGATTTTATTTGTTTGAATTTTACTGATCTGGAAGCTTTAGTTTCCTTTTCAATGTGCTTAGCTGGATGCAGCTAACCTCTCCCACATCTGTCAAAAAGGACTGTCTGTGATACAGTGGGACACAGCCCTATCTGTATCCTTGTGTAGAAGTGGTGAACCAGCTAAGATCAGAAGTCTCTCTTTATGGGCCAGGGACTTAGCTCAGTGGTTCCGCCACCTGCCTCGAAAGTGCAAGGTCCTAAATTCGATTCCCAGTACCAAAAAAAAAAGCTTCTCTTTCATAGGACACAATAGCCAGCCCTTCTGGGTGAAACTGAACAGGATCTCAATCATAGCCGTGCTGGCAAAAAACTTAAGAGTGAGAACAATAGTGAAGAGCATTCAACTAAGAAATTTTGGAGCCTAAGTACCTATCCTGGAAATACCTATCAGAACAGAAGTGATAGCATGCTCCAGTGAGGGCACAAGTGAATTGTATGTAAGAGGCTTGTGAGCCAGCTTTCCATATCTAGTGACAGGGAGTTCTTTTTCTCTTCATTGTTTGCCTCCTCTCCTGGCTTCCAGCAGTTGAGGTGTTCTGCAATGAAAGTACAGCAACTACCCTTTGATTTGATTGACCAAGCTTACAGATCAGAGCCATAGATATTTGAGGCAAGGAAATATGAGTGTTTTGTATCTGACATTAAAGTTCCTTTGTCATCTGGCCGTGGTGGTGCATGCCTGTAATCCTAGCATGTGGGAGGTTGAGGCAGGAGGATCATTGCCAGTTTGAGGCCAGCCTGGACCATGTAACGAGATCTTGTCTCAAAAAACAGAAAAAGTCCCTTTGTCACAATGAGTTACTTTGATAGGCATAATGCACTGGGTCCCCTCACCTGTTAAGACCAGGAATAAATTGGATCCAAGTAGATCCAAATGTAGCACATGGCAGCAATCTCAGTACTCTGGAAGGCTGAGGCAGTAGGATTTCAAGTTCAAGGGCAAACCTAGATTATGTAGTAAGCCCTTGTTCAAAAAAAACCAAAATAAAGTGACTAAAAGGTTTAGAACCCAAAACAGCCAGGTGTGGTTTCACACACCTGTGATCCCAGCACTAAGGAGACTGAGACAGGAGGATCACCGTGAGACCAAGGCCAGTCTGGTCTACATAGTTCAAGGAGAGCCTGAACTACATACCAAGAAACCAAGGGGAAAAAACCAAAACAAAATTCCATTCAGCTGAGTGCAGTTGCATGTCACTTGGGAGGCTGAGGCAGGAGGATCACTGAGTTCACTGTAGACCTCTGGAAGTGACTGTATTTGCCTTTGTCTTTGAAACCACTATGGTTAAACCTTGACAGCTCAGACTTGTTCTTTTAGGGCTGGATAACTGAATCTGATGCACTTAATGTTCTACTTAGAAGCAGAGGGGATGGATTTCTGTGGCACCAGGCTAATAATCATTGATGTAATCTCACATTCTTAACCAACAGTCCTTTTTCTCATCTTGTACAGGTTACCCTGTAGTCCAATTGTGGTTAAAACAAACAACTTCCAGATGACTAAAAATCCTACCTCGGGTCAGTTACATTCAGCAGAAAATCAGCATCTCAGAAAATGTGGAAAGATGACTTCCCAGTTGTTTTAAGAAACCAGCCAGGTGGGGCCGGGGATTTAGCTCAATGGTTTCACCCCCTACCTCGAAAGCACAAGGTCCTGAGTTCGATCCCGGTACAAAAAAACAAAAACAAAAACACCAACCCTTTCTTAAAACAAACACTCTGAAATGCTATTGTTTTATTCAGTAACTGAGAGCTAAATTCCAATTCATGACATTTCCAGTGCATCTCTCTCCTCCTTGGGGAGCTAAATGTAACTCACATTTTTAAAATTGTTTGCAATGACCCTAGCCTTTCATTTCCCCCATTGAACAGGAGAAACTGTGAACTTAGGCTCCCCTCCCATGATCACTATTTAGGGAATTCCTTTAAAACACAACTATTTTAAGAAATAAGTCATGGATCCTAGGCTATAGAACTTCATTTCTAATGTGTATAATCATCCCCTATAAGAAATCTGATTTTTCCCCCCAGTTTCTAATCTTAGGAAGTTGTCAAGTATGAAATAATTTCCAGGTAATTTAGTAATTTTTCCCCTCAAAAAAATTATTGAAAAGGAGTGAGGGCGAGCATAGTGCAGCCTGCCTGTAATTCTAGCACTCAGGAGGCTGAGGCAGGAGGATCTCTGAGAGTTTGAGGCCAGTCTGGGAAACAGTGAGTTCAAGTCTAGTCTGAGCTTCGTAACAAGGCCCTGTCACATACACCAAAAAAAGTGAAAAGTTCAGAAATGCCTTGAAGACACTGGCTGCCAAGTACCAAGGGCCTTGGATGGGTGGACTGATTTGAACTTTCAGCAGCAGAGGGGACCAGCAGTATTGAACCCTGATATCCTGGGAGTTTGCTGTTTGTGTTGGAGAGATGGGAAACAAATTTTCCACCTGTTTCTTTTAGGACCCCCCTTTTTTGTGGCACTGGAGATCAAACTTCCACTGAACTATGTCATTTATTCATTTTTTTGAAGACTGTCTCTGAGTTGCCCAGTCTAGCCTCAAACTTTCAGTCCTCTTGCCTCAACCTCCTGCCTAACTGGGATTGTAGATGTGCACTCTGCCTTCCTGCTAGGATCCTCTTTTTAACCACTGGCAAGCTGCAGCAGATGAAATCGTGGGAGGGAGGGGTAAACATGCTCCAGCCACAGATAGCTATCAGTAATGTCAACATTACCTGGCTTTCTACTGTAAAAAAAATCCTTTGCCTTGTTTTGGGTATGCTTAGCTTCATATTCAGGACACGTGTCAGTGAAGTCAGGGGATGGATTTTTAACTTCATAATGCAAAGCAAAAAAGATATTGAGTGCACAGTCTCCTAGGAGTGCCTCCACCCCAGCAACTGCAGAAAAGGCGTTTGTGGGAGAAGAGGGTGGCTATAGACACATTACATCATCCAGATCCCAGCTGTGACCTGGCTCAGAGTTTTCTAGTTAAAAATAACCATGGCTTTAGACTTGAGGGGAAAAGTAAACTGCTGTGGTCTCCATGGAAACTGGGAGGGGGCGGGAAAGGCAGGCCTAGGATGGCCAGCACAAGCGGCAAGATGGAATGATGCATGTAGGGCCCACAGATGAAAAGTGATACCTCTAATTGGCATTTAGGATGTAGCCAGACACTGCCCCAGGGCACTCTGGAAGGAGGCTATGTTTACCAGCAAGTAAATATCTTGACTAGTGAAGAATTATTTGAGCTTCTGACTTTCTGTGACAGATTTGCTACTATTTGGCGAAGCAGAGAACATAGGAGCAACACAAGAAGATGTACTATCTGGGAACCTCTGCTCCCCTTCCATTCACATTCCACTCCTGCATTTGCATATTCACCGAATTGAGATGATAACCAGATACATTTCATAACCCAAAGAGAAGCCTTCCAAGCTTTGGGGCTGATGTGCATATTTACTTCCCTTTAGTAGGATCAGGTCTTTCCTCTTTGGTGTTGTAGAAAATTATGTAAAGCAGCATTAATTACCTTGAGTGTCTATGTAAAAGTATGTCTCTTAACCATTTATAGTATTTTGGTTTTAGGTTGCGAGGCAGACAGCGGAACAACTGAGCTAAATCCCCGGCCCTGTTTTAGGTTTTTTTGAGATAGGGTCTCCCCATGCAGTGCAAGCTGGCCCTGAATTCACCATGTAGCCCAGTCTGGCCTTGAACTCTCAGCAATCCTGTTTAGCCTCTCGAGTGCTGAGATTACAGGTGTGCACCACCAGGCCTGGCTCATTTGTCATACTGTTAACCAACATAGATAGTTAACTTTTGGGGGAAAATATTTTACTTCTTCATTCCGCCTTTTTTTCTTCAAAAAGATTTATTTTTTTGGTACACAGGTCAAACTCACGACCTGTGCTTGTGCACATTGCTACTGAGCTAAATCCCCGGCCCTCTTCAAAAAGATTTTTAAAATCACTTTTTTCCTTTCAAGAAGTACTTGAATACATTCTAAAAAAAAAAAAAAAAAAAAAAATTAACACCCAGAACCTTTGCTCTAAGCTATGTCCCCAGGCCTTTTAAGATTTATGTATTATTATTTTTAAGACAGTCTTGCTACGTTACCAAGTTGCCCAGGCTGGGCTTGAAATTGTGATCTTCCTGTCTCAGCCTCCCAGACTGTTGGCATTACAGGCATGTGCCACCACACCTGGCTTCTAACACTTTCTTTTTAAATGAGTGCAGGGCTGGGGATTTAGCTCAGTGGTTTTGCCGCTGCAGGCCCAAGGACCCGTGTTCGATCTCCAGTACCAAAAAAAAAAAATGAGTGAAAATAACTGAAGATGAAGTAAGAATTTCTTTTTACATTATAGCCTTCTATAGATAAATGCTTTCTTCTTTACTTGCCTGGTATATTAGAAAGATCTGAACACTAATAATCCTTGCTCTGGTATTTAATAATAATGCAACTTTACACACTGTTAAGTTTCTAACCCTTCATGTCCTTTGGTTGATAATGTCCACCTGACTAGATTTGGTGAAGATTATAGATGGGATAAGATATATAACACACCTGGTGTGCCTCTTCTTTTTTTTCTTTTCCCATTGAGTCTTTGATAGTTTTAACTCCAATGAGCTGTGAACAAGCGCATGACTTGCTTGTACCATATAGTTCACGTCATGCTAAAGTTAAACAGAGGGACACAAAAATCTGAAAGACTTAAATGTTAAAACAGGCCTTCTGCAAGGATTTTTTTTAAACCTTGGAATTCTCTTCACTGCATCATTGCTGTATCTATTGAATTAAGGGGAGACAATTCCAGAGATGGATTTTAAATTACCTAGTTACTCTGGACATGTTGTAATGTTCCCTTATATAATGCCTAGCTAAAAAAACTTTTTGGGTTACAAAATTATACGTAGAGGGCCAGGGATTTAGCTCAGTGGTTGTGCCGCCTGCTGTGCAAGTGCAAGGACCGAGTTCGATCCCCGGTACCAAAAAAAAAACCAAAAACAAAATTATATGTACACTATGAATATGATTGTGTAAAGAATAAAAACTTTTGCATAGAAAAGACTAATCCAGATGCTAATCATTGTTTCATTAACTGTAATAAAGTGATGGTGGATAATGTTTTTGCTCTTGTGTTTTTGTTCTTTTTTTCTTATATAATGTGACTTTAATACTAAAAAAATTAATTTTGAGAACTATAAAAAAAGATTAAAGCATTTTACATGTAACAGAATCTAGTTGTTCCATATGATACACTTAGAAAAGTGCTATCTCACATTTTATAAGCTAACATAAGCCTTAAGCAAATTTCTGTAGTAGATGAAAAGTCTCTTGAGACTTCTGTCCTGCTAATTCTCTTTTCTGCATTCCGAGTTTTCTCCCAGGTAAATGGTGATCATTGTCCCTTAAACCTGTCAAAAAAGTGTAGAAATTTACCTCTCACAGGGGATTTTTATCTTTCTAGTAATCAATGGCATATAATCTGTAATTACAGTCACTACACAGCAAGCAGGTTTTGAGACATGTGAGGTACAGGCTCTAGTGGAACCCTGAAGTCAAACTTCTGTAGCTTGAAAAGCCCTGATGACTGCTGATCCCCAATACTGTCAGATCAAAGTTGTTAGAAGTTTGTTAACCACAGGCAATGACATAGATGGGAGATGCAAACATTCTTTCAGAAGGACCTGAGAAGTCTTTTTTTTTTAATTTTTAATTT